TCAGCTTGGAGTTCAGGATTCCCAGGTCAGTGGGGTTGATCTCAGTAGGTTTTTACTTTGGAGTAAAAATACTCTTGGAGGCTGAGTTTGTGGAACGACTTACGAAAAAATGTTTTTTGTGGAACAACAAATTAAATGCCCGCCATCTCTCACCTTCAGTGTGGTTGATTTGGAGAATTAGGCTATGGATCTTGGAGTCACTCCAAGTATTTTCTAAGCCAGAGGTTCTAGCCCTGTATTTGACAGCTATGGTCACTTGTTATTTTGCTCATTAATTCATCCAACGGCATTTTTCAACCTATGTAAAAGCTTACATATTGCAAAAATATTGCAATTTACATTACATTACATTTCACAATTTACAATTAGAAATTATATTGCAAAATCTTGCAAAAATCTCTGTAATTGGTAGGAAGTTCAGTGTCGGTGGTTTAACCATGTTTGTTTTGACCCTGTCTTCTGATACGATTTCACATTTCCCCCTCTTACTTATTTATTTATTTTATTTAAAGGCACAGAATTATAGAATCATAGAATGGTTTGGGTCGATCATTCAGTTTTCAGCACCCTTGCCAAGGGCAGGGACATGTTGCACTAGACTGGGGTGCTCAAAGCCCCATCCAACCTGGCCTTGAATGCTTCCAGGGATGGGGCAGCCGCAGCTTCCCTAGGCAACCTGTTCCAGTGCCTCACCACCCTTGTACTGAAGAATTTCTTCATAATATCTAATATAAATCTACCCTCTTTCAGTTTAAAGCCATTTTCCCTTGTCCTGTCACTACATGCCCTAATAAAAGGCCCCTCTCCAGATTTCTTGTAGGTCTCCTTTAGGTACTACAAGGCTGTTATGAGGTCTCACCTGAGCTTTTTCTTCTTCTCAACTAGCCCAACTCTCTCAGCCTGTCTTCATAGCAGAGGTGTACCAGCCCTATGAGCATCTTCATGGCCCTCCTCTAGACTCATTCCAACAGGTTCATGTCCTGAATAATCACATATAATACTAATTTGTCTACTCACCTATGATTCATAAAATGGCAAGTTAGAGCAAGAAGACTACGTAACAGTAGAGTTACAGAATGTAGACTTTATATATTTTCCATTTATCTGGGCAATAAAACTTTCCTTAGGCAAAACACAAACACCAATAACTTCCTATTGGTTCACTGATTTTACTGAAGCTTTTGGAAGTTGTCAGTTCTATGTAAATATAAAATGCCAGTAATATAAACACTCAGGAATAGAAACGTTTTGAACGTACACTTCAGACTGATTTATTTTTCTCAGAACTTATAAATAGTGGTGTATTGTATTATTATTCAAATAAATGATGATGTTATGCACAGTGATTGCATCAGAGTGACGTTATAATATGTGTGCTCAAAGAGTCAACCTGTGTTGTGGTTACGCTCTTAGCAGCAGAAGTAGTAACAGCAAGGAGGACAGGTATGTAGTGGCTCTGTGATTTACTTGATGCATTAGCTGCAGTGATGTACAGCAGTAGGTTAGGGGCCAGCAAAGAAGCTGTAAAATGATTCGATATAAAAGGAACAAGAGCCGTGTGAAAATGTACTCTAGTGTCTGATTGAAAACTGGTTCTTCTTGGGTGAAAAAGAAAATTTCAGCAAATACTTCAGTGTAAGTGCTGAAGTACTGTTAGTACATCTGCTTAATGTGTACAAGTTCTGATACTGCTAGTGAAGGTTCTTTTCGTTACATTTAGTAGAACTTGTATGTATATGTGCACCATCTAAATAGTAAGTACTGATAAAAACAATTTGATGGTTTTATGACTTAACATATAAATTTGCTTTATTTGGGTTGTTTTAAAGAAGTTCTTTCACAATCAGCAAGTAAAAGGTGAGAAATCAGATGGTATTGCACAGAATCCACAGTACTGCATATGTATACATATGTTTGCACACCCATGGAAATGTAATGGAAATACTATACTTTGTAATCAAGGAATAAATAGATGAAGAAAAGTGGATAAAAGTTAAAACTTACGAAATGAGTTGAATATTGGATTCTAAGAATTTGTGATATTTAAGCGTATTTTGTGCGGTACAATAGATAGCCTAATTTATTTCCCTTCCTAAATAAAATTACCATCAAATTATGTATCCATCTAACTATCCATTTATTCATATGTTTAGACCCATATCCAAGCCCTGCCCCTGTAATCACAGAAGAATGTCAGTCAATAGTGAATTTATTTGAAGGCCTTTTCTAGTAATGCATACACCATGAGTAATTTTACCCAATATAAATCTTATTCTTCAAAAGGTCAGGTAAATCTTATTCTTCCAAAGGTCAGGAAAGTGTAGAAAATAGACAGTTATGAGATGAATGACTAGCCCTTGCTTCCTCTCCTATTTCAGTTAGGCTTCTGAAAGAAACTAATTCTTTTTGAGAAATTACTAAGGTTATGTGTTGAGGGATCTGTTAAGAGCTTGTATTTACAAAGGATTGAGCCTCCAACATAATTCTATGCTGCAGTTGCTTCCCTAGTTACTGAAGTAGGAACCGGAGACACTGAAACACTCCCTCCCATAGCACATGGTTCAGTCACTTCTCATCAGAGAGCAGTAGTCTCTGATAAAAAATTACTGGTTAAATAAACAAGTTTTTCTAAAACTGTTTTCTCTGTTCTGTCTTCACAAAGTAACTCCTGTTACTAAAATTTACAGACTGAATATTTTAGAGGAATGTTTGAAAAGATTAGAGAAACTGCAAAACTGTGTTTTGCTAGCCTTAATTTGTACTCTAGTGGCTCATATCTGCAGAGCTGAGGACTTGGTCCCAAATTCAGATCTGCTTCAAACTACAGCAAGCTGGTGTAGAGTTGTGCTTCATGCTGCACTGGTGATGCGGAATATCCCTGCTGTGTGCTGGCAGCCTAATTAATGCCTATGGTCCTTATATTGTTGGAATCATTTAATCTAATTCGAGTAACAGTTGGAATAGTTCCAAAAATATTTTTTTAGAGATTATAAGGTTTATTCCTGATTATATTACAAATGCATCAAATGTCAAATATTCTTCAGAAATATAAATGTGCTGATCTCTCCAAGGATATTTAATAATAATGTATAGACTAGTAGGGATTTAAGTGGACTGTAACATAGTTTTTAATTTAAGGAATAAAATCAATTTATAACCTTTGACCTATGGCCAATCTCAGCCTTGGCTCAGTTTTGGAAGATAATTTGCCCAAATCCTTTCCTCTACACAAGTCCTGCTTCTCCAAATTAAATTGCTGAGTTTTGGCCTGGGTCCCACTGTCAGAAAACCTCTTAATACTTGTTCATTCTGCTCCTCTTGCACTCTGTATTAAAAAGCCTTCCTAGTGTGATAATTTTATGTTCCTAAAAAAATAGGATAATCTCTGCAGTTCTTTCAATAAACAGGGGTGATGTTGGGGGCCTTTTATGTTGTTTTTTTTTTTAAACCCGCATTTGAAAGTGTCATAATATGTGCTGCCAGCCAAATGAGCTGCTGAAACAAGCACTTCTGGCACCATGCTTCCTACTAGGTGTCTTCCTATAATCCCTCAGATTAGTAGGCAAGGTTCTGAAAATGCTGAAGAAGAGAAACAGAGAAAGTGAAAGGTGTGAGCCACTGAATAAATATGAGGGGAGAGTGCACTAACAAGGGAGTCAACAGAGTTATCCTGTAAGTAGAAAGACAGTGCCAGAGGTAACAACATGAAAATGAAAAGAAGTGATAGTTTTCCTCTTCCAAATACCCATCTGCAAATGCTGGTAGCCAAATTACCACCAAATCTATTTCCCAGGAATTCTGTTCACTCAGGAGAAGAGACCCAAGTTTTAACTTGGCAATTGGATTTCCTGATAAGAAAATTACAGTAAAAATAATTTGTCCATCATTGCTTCGTGTCCAATTCATGCAGACTCAAGGGATTTCGGAAAGACAGCACAAGAGAAATAGATCCATATAATCAAATAAAGTCTGCAATTCAATCGGTACTCTATTAATAAATATTTTAAAAGGGTGGCATGTTTTACATGTATTTGGGTCTTCCTAAATCTGGGATTTCTTGCATAACTGCGTGAAGGAAAACTTTTTTTGTTACTAAATAAGGGATTTGGTTCATGGAAAACCCCAGCAGACTGAGTGATATGAGCAAATAACAAGAAAAAAGTTGTGTTCTTACATCTGGTAGATTTATAGAAGTGTGGAATTGAAGTCTTGAGTCTATTTTAGAACATATTTAATTACAGGCTTTTTCTAGATAAATTGATGTCCTCCAATTCAGTACTTTTTAATACTTTTTCTATTTTACAAAAGAAATACATTTTTCTAACTTTTGAACAACTAAAACTAGTAAAAGGTGAATCACAATCCAATCTTGTATATCTTTGCTACTATGATTTTGTTAGCCTAACTTCAACAGATATACAGATCTCCACACAGAGAAATTTATTCTTTTTAATACTTTTATTGCACTGGAACAAGATGAGGAGCATGCATACAGGGTATTCATTGAAATGCATTTACCATAGCATTGATAAGTAATATCGTTTACTTTGCATGTAAGTATCAAAACATTTTTTGTACCATTTTCAAGGACAGATCAGAGGGACCACTGGTGTTCTCAGTTACAGCAGCAACCCATCTTTCTACAGATGTTCACGTCAGCCAGTTTTAAGACATCTCCTCAGGATTTTGTAACTCATTGGTTATACTTCCATCCACCATAGCTGTGACATCTTTGTAGAAAAATCTTCTCTTGCCTTCGCTTGAATATCTTGCATTTGCGTATGTTTTGTGTTCTGGAACATGAACAGCATGAGAGAGAGAAGATACCTTCTGTGCTCAGCTTCGCAGTGCCCTCAGTATGTCTACAAGAGAAGACATTTAGTGATGTGCTGAGTCAGTTCTACAGACAACTCCTGCTCCTGTTTTGTTAGCTGTTCACCTGTCCATACTTGTTTTGCTTCAGTCTGCCGGCTTGTTACCTTGTATTAATTTTGTTGTAGGAAGCTTTTGGACACTGAGGATGAGCTCTCTGACATCCATTCGGATTCAGTCCCGCTGGAAGTGCGGGACTGGTTAGCTTCTACGTTCACAAGGGAAATGGGAATAGTAAGAAGGAGACATGAAGAAAAGCCCAAATTCCGAAGCATTGTGCATGCTGTACAGGCTGGGATTTTTGTAGAAAGGTGAGAGCTTTATTTTCCTGTTACAGCAAGTACTGCATTTAACCACAGTGCCTGTCACTGAAGATCCCTTAAGTGGTGGGATGAACCTGAAGCAAATCTTTGAGCCAAAATTTACATTTTAATTTCTGCAGCTGCTCAATTTTTCTATACAGAAATCCAAATGAACTTCTAAATTTGTAATGAAATCTCCTGAACTTTGGAAAATTCTGGGAATTAACTTGATGGCTTTGAAACTTCTACACTAAAATGCACCAAAGACTGCACTAACGTGTAAGAGTAATATACCATCAGAGGGGCTTTTCTCCTAAGTCGATAAAAAGATTTATGTCACCTCTGGGATCAGACCCTCAAATAGCCTAGTGTTATTTCACAAACTCTGAAAGATGAATTTCAAAAAAGATAAATTGTTCTAGTAATTTTTAAAGGAGCGCTCTTCCTTTATGTTTTATTCGTTCTTTTAGGATGTACCGAAGAACTTCTAGCATGGTTGGTTTGGCTTACCCAGCAGATGTGATAGTAACATTTAAGGTAAAATAATTCTAATCATTGTGGAATTTGAATGCATCTGTACATATGTTTAGTGATTTTTAGGGTTAGTTAGTGTATTTTTCTACTGAACATACCCTAGACATAGTACTACAGAACTGATCACACAGAACAGAGAAATTAATAGTTAAAAATTAAAAAAATAGCATATGATTCTGTTTATTGTTTCACTGATTAAGTGTGATTTCATTACAGATGCTATTAGAGCAATAGGATGAAATTTGTATAAAAATTTGCACAGAAATGTAAGACAGTTTTATCTGCTTCCAGTGATATGGTAATCAGCATCTCAGCAGCATTTGTTTCCTTATTAGGAAAGAAAAAGGAGCAGTAGTATTGGGATAGAGCTAACAGAAGAAGCTGCATCTTATGGAACAAGTATAGTATTTGTTGTGAATTAAAAGCATTACTGTAGTTCAGCCAAAAGGCAATCTTTTATAGCAGTCAAGTTCCTATGGCTATGTACAATTAGAAAATACTGTTTGTTGAGAATGTAGTATTTCACCTTTTCTCCTAAAAGTTAAACGCTGTTATATTGTTCTCAAATTGCTGTATGGCTATAGAGTTAATGACATTGCATAATAGCCTGTTAAAAGATTGGGTGTTCACATTAGCTCTATGAGGTTCTATAGACAATTTGTATGGAGAAAGTTAAATTTGAAAGATTAAGGCTTACAGAGTTGCGTAGGTCATGTTACAAGTATTTTATTCATAACTGGCACAATGACTTTCATTGTTAATACTGAAATAGTCATTATCTACAGTAGGAGTTTCAAAGAGTTAGACGATAGAAAAACACCCAAACTCTCCATCTTCCCTCCAAAAAACCCCAAAATGTCTTTCCCAGTGATTAACTGGAAACCTGCTTAAACAGATGGAAATTATATGTTTGGTTTTGGTTTTTTTTTCTTTTCCCTTCACCTACAGGATGTTGATAAATGGTCTTTTGACGTATTTGCCCTAAATGAAGCAAGTGGAGAGCACAGTCTGAAGTTTATGATGTATGAGCTGTTTACCCGATATGACCTTTTGAGCCGTTTCAAGGTCAGAAACTAGCCACAAATAAAACTATGTATGCAAGTATAAGTATGTCAAATTTAAAATACAAGAAAGATAGGATATGTTTGAAATGGGTTTTTTTGTACAATGCAGTGGAGAATTTCAAAGAATAAGGCAAATCAAACATTGTAATATGCCAATAGTTCTACCAAATGGACCTTCACACAGAGCATGCAAGTTTTTCTGCAACCCAAAAAATGGAAATCTGTGTAGTCCCACGTCAAGTCAGTTTGTTACGGGATGTTGCTAGTGAGCAGTTAGACGCTGTAAGTATCAAATAAGAGGAGTATGCAAACAGCCTATTTACTCAGTGGTACTGGATCAGTATCCCAGCTTCACGAAACAAAGATTCCTAATAAAGCAGGAAACTTTAGTTAATCCTGAGTACTTTTTTCATGGCCTAGATCATAGTATGTTACCCACCACTGCAGGGGTTTCAGCGGAACCTTCCTTTTCTAACCAGCTTCACAATATATAAGGAGAATATATAAGGAGAACTTTTCAATGGTGTCTGCAGGGTGTTGGAATACAGTATGAAGTACTTACAAACAACTTGAAAAGGCTGAGATAAAAAATGGATCAAAATGCCGAATTTATCATAATAGTACCAAATGAATGTTTCATTACAGTTTCAAAATCTCTCCATTGCAAAACTCCATTCTTCTTTCAAAAAGGCTGACTCACCCTGAAGTCAATTCCAGTATTTTAATTTTAACAAATAATCCATCAAATATTTTAACAAATATCCCATCAAGATTTTCCCTTCAAGCTCTGGGTGCTAGAAGTCAGAACCATACCAGGGCTACCATTAACAGCACAGTCAGAAAGTACATGATATTACTGTCTCAGTGTGCTTAAGCCCATTCTCAGTCCCACTTTTTAGTTTACCTTTTAGTTACCTTTACTAGTTTTAGTTTACCTTGTAGGAGTTTTAAATGAAGAAAAAAATCTTAAGGAAAGTGTAATTTCATTGTATGTGGGTTGTGGCTGAACCCCAGCTAGCAACTAAGCCCTGCAGAGCTGCTTGCACACTCCCCAGCAGGATGGAGAAGAGAATTGGAAGGGTAAAAGTGAGAAAATTCATGGGTTGAGATGAGAACAGTTTAAGAATTTAATAATAATAATAATAGAAATAAAACTCAGGAAAGACAAGTGATGCAAATGAAAACAATTGCTCACCACCAAATGACTGATGTCTTTGAGCAGCAGTCCCCCGGCCAACCTTCCCCCTAGTTTTATTGCTGAGCATAGTCATGCCCTATAGTATATATATATCCCTTTGGTCAGTTGGGGTCAACTGTCCCAGCCGTGTCCCCTCCAAACTTCTCATACACCCTCAGCCTACTCGCTGGTGGGGTTTTATGTGAGGCAGAAAAGTCCTTGACTCCGTGTGAGCACTGCTCAGCAATAGCTAAAACAGTGTTAGCACAAATCCAAACTGCAGCCTCATACTAGCTGCTATGAAGAAAATTGTAGCTCAGCCAAAACCGGCACAATGGGAAAATAAATGGGACTGTTGAATAATAAGTTGTCGGGAGGAAAAGAAGGAAGGGAATTTGTACTATCAGATATAAGGAAATCTTGTCTCAGGCAAGGTAAAATTGGTGAAGAAAAGAGGATAATCCTATTATTAGACTCCTGTCTGTCATACCTTTATTATATGAGCAATTGGTGATCCTTCATCCTAGAGATGTGCCCTGCCCAGCGCAGCTGCAATTTCAGCAATATGGCCCTGCCTGAGGGTCACCGCCTCCCTACGATCGTGTTTTACGGTGAACTCGCCACTGGTAGCCACAAGAGAAGTGCCCCAAAGAAGAGATACAAGGACTCCCTGAACAATACCTTAGCCTTGGCCATATTGACTACCATCAGTGGTCCACCTTGGCCTCCAGTCAGGAGACTTGGAGACACACCATACATAATGCCATTGACTCCTTTGAGAACTCACCCAGTACTAGTCTCGGGGAGAAAAGACAACATAGAAAGAATTGTGCCCCACCTATACCACCCGAGGAGGCCTTTCGCTGTGCCTTTTGCAGCCGGATTTGCCTATCTCACATTGGCCTTTTTAGTCATTAAGGCGCTTGCAGTAAGCATGGGTAAAGCCCTTCCCAAATCTTCATTCGGAAGTCAAGCCATGATGATATGAGCAATCTGTGCATTCCTGGTACAGACAGACAAGTCTTAAAAACTATTTGCTTGATAGCTCTGCTGTCTCTTGTACACTACCCACATGCTATGCATGGTGTATGTAGAGGTATATTAGATCTACAAGGTTTGGGTGAAGAGTCCCTGATGCGTATGAAATATTATGTCTTTACATTTTAATTTTTTCTTTTGTTGTTTCTTAACTGAGTTCTATGGTACATTTATTTGTAATTTATTTCTTGCATGATTAATTTTGCAGCTGTTGCAGGAAAAAACAATAATTTTAATTTTTACTTCTCCCCAGATCCCTGTTCCCAATCTTATTTCATTTGCTGAAGCTCTTGAACTTGGTTATAGCAAATACAAAAACCCGTATCACAATCTGATCCATGCAGCTGACGTTACTCAAACTGTGCATTACATAATGATTCACACTGGTATCATGGTAAGAAATACTGCAAAGTTCAATCTACTTCTTTTCTCAAACCCTGCTGTTTAGAATAAATGCGTATGTGTGCCTTTTCTTCAGGAAAAAGCTCTCTTGAAAACTGTGCAGGGATAGATTCTGAGCTACCATCCAGGCTGTGAAAGTTATGTCATTTCGACAGTTCTTCCAGGCTAAATTCTGCTGGTGCAGAGGAAAATAGGAGGAAAAAAATTCCTCCTTAAATTCTTTTTGCTTTGAATTGCCTTAGCTTGAGTATTGCATATCATACTAAAAGAGATACATTTTCAGGAGTGGCAGATGAGAATTTTTCGCTTCCACATCAGAGCCTGGGAGGTGTGAAGAGGCAAGCAAGCTTTAGTATCTGCTGAGGTGTTGGCCATTGAAAGATATACTGAATCAGTGTAGGCTTACTCAAGTACTCTGCAGCTGCTTTTTCTTTTAGTTTATAACCGTATTTAGGATTGTTCTTGCATACTTTATGTCCCTATAGTAGGTAGAAAACTGCATTTGCCTTGTACTGTTGAAATATCCCGATACTTTTTAGTATTTGCTTTGGGAACTGAAGTGAGTCTGTGCAAGCATTTTTACTCTAAACACTTAGATCTAATACCAGCAGTGGGAGTATCCTCACTGTCAGCTTGCTAGACATCTCAGTCAGTGGCCTTTTGATGTTTTGTCTTCACTCTGAATGCACTTGTTTCAAAAAAAAAAAAAAAAAAAAAGGGTGGGAAGTGATAGTGCCTGATCTGTTGGCAGAGCCATGAAAAAATTCTGCGAGACTTGGGTAGAAAAGTTCTAAGGACTGATTCTAGATTTTTTGTGCTCTAATATATCCACAATGAATGATAGTCATTCACTTATATTAAGCCTTTTCTCAGTGAAATCTTTGCCTTTGGCTTCAGTGGAGGCAAGAATGAGTCCCTAGTCATTGCAGGCTTTGATTCTACTGTTTGAAGGAAGTGTTTTGCTTCTAAGCATAAAGTTTTTAAAGCTACATTTTAACAGAAGTACAGAGTGCAGAATGAACCCTGGAGTCTTTGGCCAGCCAAGATTCCTTTCCGCATTGAGATGATTTCTTGAGAAAGGACTTCCATATCAGACTGAAGCACAACTCTTGCCAAGATGACTCCAAATCAAAGTTGTTGTGTATTGTATTCACTTATCAAAATAATATTTTAATAAAAGAAGAAGCTTGAACAGATTAAATCACATTTCCTATCCTATCCTTGTCTTCTACTGTAAGATCAGCTGCAAGTGATAAGTGAAGGAAATTCTTTCCTGTTAGGAGAACTATACTAGCCAATTGGGATGTTTAGCCATTGATTAAACAGCTTTACAAAACACGCTGTGTATCACTGAACACTGAATGAAGGAACCTGCTTCGTATTTGAATTATCTGCTATTCCATCGGGTGCACACAAGAATGAGAATGGTCTCTCCAACTCAAGTATAACATTATTAGCACCTTAACCATGTAACAGCACTTTGAAGTGATTTGGATAACTATTTTTGGAAAAGGTTAGGCTTTACTGGTGTTAGTTTGCTGTAAAACCTTATTAATGTTCCCATGCTGTTACAAAATATTCCTCTAAAATTAGGCCAGGTTTTAAATATTCACATTTGAATTGTTGAATTATGGCATTGAAAAGTTCTTGGAAAGATATCTAACTAGGACAACACTTAGTGAAGAGTGCCTTCAAACAGATGCAGCTTGCCAGGGAAAAAGAACATTTATAGAAATCAGCGTTTGAAAGAGGGCCTAGTGATTCTGCAGCTTGCGAAGTATTTCTGTCCCAAATGTCATTTCCCATTTGAGAATGCATCAATATCATGAATATGGTCTACTTAACTTGCTGGTTTTTTTTCCTGTTGCCTGGTTAACCCTATCGAATCCTACTCAATAACAATTTGAAGTTTGCTCCTCAGGCTAATAGTTTTCAGAGTATGTCCATTGTAATGCTTCTTTTAATTCTGCTGTACCCTCTAACAAACACCTGGATTGAAGTCAGTTTGATGCAGTTCTATATCAAATTCCTGTGGTATTTCTGCGGATTGGCATGCAATTCTTGTGCTTTCATTGTATCTTAAGAAACTGCAATTAACTCCCAAAGCTTCCAAAGAATTTCTGTCTTACTTGTTCACTTCTAAAAAATATACTCAAGCAAATGTTTCAAAAACGTGGGCTTTAGAAAATCCTTTTCATGATTCCTGTTGTTCAAATCATACATTTTGTATCTTTTATAGGCAGTCATGTTTCAGCATTTGATCAGAGTTTGTGCTCCTCCACAAGCCTTTATAGAGATTCCAGTGAAGAATAACATATATTCAGAGTCAAAGCTAAAGAAATAAAATAATCATTGTATTTTCAGAAAGTTACTGTCTGTCTTAAGAAAGAAGATCCGACCACCTCAGATAAATGTGTTAGAAAGTTACACAGATGGCATACAATCTATTAACCTTCCCAAGAGATTAAATCCCAGATGATAAGACAGAAATATATAACTCAGGCTTGCATTTATGAAGTCTCCATCTTTCTAAAGATTTAAAAATCCAAGTTCCAGGGAATACATCTTGTAAAGAACTTTTGAGTCATCGATCATCTTCCCACCATCCCTTTTCTCCTCCCACATACCTGTATTGCTCAAACTAAAGGAAAAATGTCTTTACTGTCAATAAGTGCATTGTGAGACTCCATTTCTTAATCATTTTTTAATCCATCATTGTCTAAAAAATTAGTTTGAACCAGAGCTCATTAAAAGTTTAATTTTATCTATTTGCTTATAAGCAATTTATAATACTGGAAAATATCAATGGAAGAGATCTTTTCTGATAGGTGTTACACCTGCATGTCATAGTGTCTTCCAGGAGGGAAGCAGGTTCCAGCTTTTCACAGTCTTGCAGACCTTCAGATATCTGCTTTTCCTTCTGCCTTTGGGAAAAACACTTGTTAACTGTCTCTGACTTCCTTAGAAATTCTTTAGGTAAATTCTCTAATTCTCTGATTTGAATACTGATCTGAATTACAGCTGTACAGCTACAGTCTCTAGAATACTTGCTCTTATATACTACCATATGAAGTGTCTGTGTAGCCTATAGAAATTGTTTGTAAGGAATGCTTTTCTTCTTACAAATGCGTTGTATAGCATCTAGTTTGGTTGCTTTAAAAGCTGATTGTTGAAAGGCATCTTAAAGAAAAAGTTTATGTTTAGCTTTAGTTACTAATAATTTCTGTGTTTCTATTCTATTTGGCATGTTGAAAACATTGTGAAAGCGAGGACTGGTCATGGCCTGATTTCTTGTGACACACAATGCGATGAAGGTCATCGTTTCCATTTTTAGATCTGCTTACAGTACATTCTCATTCCTCTGTTGTGACCTTTTTAAATCTATACTTCACCAACAGCCAGTACTTCTTGTTCCTTAGCAGTCTTTTTTTTTTTTGTTGACTGAATGGCCTATTTCATTATTCTCACATTGCTTATGACTCTTGACTGTTTCCTTTCTTCTTTGAAAGAAATACTACTATTGGCAGCTTTTACTACTTCTGGCAGCTTATACATATTATATCCATTCATACACATGTATGTGCATATATGGGTGAATAAGGATGAGATCATTCTTCAATCCTTTAGTACAGAAGCTTACTTTACTAAAAAAAAATCTGAAATATGTGTGGAAGTACTTGACTGGCATTTGACTTAATCAGTCCTATGACTGCGGGGGTTAATTGTCGTATGATTTTTCTGCCCCCATTTTTAGATGGAGTAAATTTTCTCTTCAAGGATGATTTATCATTCAAGAAATAGAACTTGAAGGATAAAATAACAGAGGTTATTTTACAAACTGAACAATACAGAAGAGTTAGTTAGCAAGAGGTATAAAAGTGCACGAAACTCTAAGGTCTGCATTATTTTGTATACATGACCTGTATTACCTTTTGTTCTGTGTAACTGTATACTAGCCTTGTACACCCATTTTTTGCATTAGTACAAACTATGATAAAATTTATAACAGGAAAATCTTCCTTAGGCCTAATTTTAGTGCTGTGTACTCTGGTAAAATATAGTTAATGCTGATGTTGTACCTAGAATTTATTATGAGCCATATATATTGCTGACTAAAAGGCAAATTATAACCTTAACTTCATATCAAGTTTTTAGATGAAAATACCATAAGTTGGTGAGGGCATGTAGGGCTACAAAATATACCATACAATTATCTTAGTAACATATTTTTTGCTGCTAATATTTGCTTTCCTAGTGACCACAAGGATGTTAATTTGGTCTTAGAAAAATCATAACAAGTACAAGGTAATTTACTGTACAGGGAGGTATTTTACTGTATAATACTGAGGTGTTATGGATATATAGTCACCTGGAATAAGATGAGAATAAAGTTTACTTGAAGGTGATACAAAACATTTCCAATACTGTAGTGTTTAATCTGAGTTAGGCTATTATAGAAAATATGATTAGAATTTGTTTTTTGTTTACTAGCACTGGCTCACAGAACTGGAAATTTTAGCAATGATCTTTGCAGCTGCTGTCCATGATTATGAACATACTGGGACCACAAACAATTTTCATATTCAGACAAGGTAAGTGAAGTGGTCTCTTAAGTGTGATATCTGGAGTTTGCTGTTCATTGGTCTGAACCATTTCATGCCTCTTAACTGAAACAGCCAGGAAGTAGCCAGGTCATTCCTGATTTTGCAAGTTGTTTCCTTGGCCTTTGTACAGTTAATGGGACTGCTCACATGAACAAACATAGTGTGGAAAAGTAAGGAGTTAGTGTTTGAAATCATTATAGTTTGGAGCTGATAGGTCAGGGTTAAATCCGTAACATACTTGTCCCCTGAGATGTGCCCTTCAATAACGAACAAATCTAGATCTGCAGCTGAAATAAAGACATAATTCTTTTCTCCCTCAGCATAGTCTGGCTAAAAATAAACTTCATTTTGTAGTTCCAAATTTATATTACTTTTCTAGTTTTGTCATTAATGTTTTGCTCTGCAAAAGTGGAAAATTAATGTTAGCCTTTGAATTTTTCTTGGGCATACTTGCAAACAGGTATTTGTTTTGTGATGAGGCTCATTCTTCCCTCCTAGTGGAACTTGGTCCTGATGTGGCATGCCAGGGCCATGAATCCAGGCTTCTTTTACCTGAGAAAAGCTGATTAAATGGCTGTCATAGTCATAGCAGACCTTAGAGCTGTTTAAAATAGCCGTAAATAGCTGTGAGGATCAAAGTGTGCTTCATAAATATACGTGATTGGCAAATCACAGATTTTCTCATGATTTTAATGGGATTATGGATGTAAATGTGTTTAGGTAGGTTATGGTTTGTTCCCTCTAAATAAAATTTCCAATCCTGTTTTCCTTTTTTACATTCGTTGGTACCATATCATATATGTGGGTGGTTACACTCAGTATATACAATTGCTCAACAGAACAAGATGTTGAATTTACCTTATTAATATCATAGTAAACTGTGCTGCTAAATCATCACACCTTTCTTCAAGTACATACTTTTCAGCTGACCAAACTGAAATGCTCATGAATAGTTTTATCAGAACGTAAGTGTAGCAGAGAGGGGAGACCCAAGGTTGTTTAGCAAGTAAGATCAGGTCTTGAGGAAACAAATTTGCCAAGAATTAATGATGCTTGAAGTTAACTATGATAAATCCATACTGCTTCAAAATTTGTAAAGATCTGTATGTACTTTTGGTATTGTAGGTTAGACTTCAATTAAGATGGACAGGATACTGTTTTTGTCAAATATAAATGAAACATTGTTATATAAATGTTATATAAATAAAACACTGTGCGTTTAAAACCATGACTTTCCTACAAACAGTACATAGAATGGTATAATAATTTTTATGCACTTAGAATAGAAACTTTATCAGTGTTTGTTACAGTAAGAACAAATAAATATAGTTTGATACATGTATTCAATAGTTCTTATAGAGAATACACAGTCCTGCCTTCCCCAAGGCTGTCATCAGGATGCTACTGCAAATGTTGCCTTTATTTTAACACCAGGTCAGATGTTGCAATATTGTACAATGATCGTTCTGTTCTTGAAAATCATCATGTAAGTGCTGCTTATAGACTCATGCAAGAAGAAGAGATGAACATCCTGACAAATTTAACCAAAGATGACTGGAGGTAAGATCTACTGTGACATTCAGACTTAATTCCAGTATTTAGACATAATAAAAAGAAACAGGCCTTCCCTGTGAAGTCTGGTATAGGAGCTCAGATTACAGGAAGAAACTTTGGCACTGGCAAGTGTAATGGATATTTAGAGCTTAGGAAAGACACTGTGGTGTATAAAAGTACTGTTTTGGAGGTACTGTATTAAGTCCAAGTGAGGTTGTGCATTTATGAGGAACAATTTGCATGGACAGTGTCAGGTGAGATATCCCTTCAGGAAAATCACTGTCTTCCCCTTCTTGAGCTAGGTTACTGCTGTCTAACAGTGGTTTAAAACCTCAGTGCAGAGTCACTCTGCTGCCAGCTTGAGCACGAATGCCTCTGGGATTTCTCCTGCGTAACAGCACAGCAGAGTCACATCATGCTTAAGCATTAAAAACTATTAATTGGAGAGTAAAATATAATGAAGTAAAGGCCCAGGAGAAATATGTTTTTTTTCTTCTCCTTCTTAGTTGTAGTGTGACTCCTGAATAAAATTTGACCAGCTGAAAGTATCGCGATCATAATTGATATGTCACAAATACCAAGACCTGTAAGACCAAAACGAACAAGTGTTAGAGATAAGACTTTCTCCATTATTAAAAAGTACATCTTATCTTTGTATATCTTTAATGACTCCATGTAACACTTAAAATATATCTTCTCTGTGTTATTGTAAACACAGGTATTATTCAGAGATCCTAAAAATAAATAAGTGGCCTGTAAATTCAGAGAGGGATGTTCGACTTCCAGGAAAGTCTCCTACTGTGAATGATGCCACCATGAATAATAAAGCTATTTTTATATATATAAAAGTACATATTTAAATATATATTTTATATATGAATCATGGAACCATAGAATAGTTAGGGTTGGAAAGGACCTTAAGATCATCAGGTTCCAACCCACCTGCCATGAGCAGGGACACCTCCCACTACCATGCCACGCAAGGCTCTGTCCAACCTGGTCTTGAGCACTGATTTATTTATAGTTTCACAAAACTATACTATTATGAAGGAATATGTGAATGTGACAATAGATTTTGGTGGTGTGTGTATTTGCAGATGAACTGTTACATATGCTAGATTTATGTGATTTTACTTATGTACATGATCAGAACCCCCCTAAATAAATATTGGTGTAAGTGTGACAGCCCTTTTGGTTTTCAATTTATTTATTTTTTTTCTGTAGCTACTCCAAAACACTTAAAATATTTTTATTTTTTTTATTGAATACAAAGTGAGAGGGTCCAGTTATGGACCCTTTGCTCAATTTTTCTTGCATTTTTCTCCATGGTTTTTGAACTGGTGATAAACTACCACATGCTTTCAGAAGCTGCTCAATCATATACAGTGTGTTTGTGCTTGCTTTTCAGTCTCCTCTCACTGTAATCCAATTAGGATTTCCTCCAGCATCTTATTTTAGCTTGCAAATTTTTTTTTTGTAGAGTGGCTGCATAGATGCAGTCCACTGTTATATGCAGCCAGTTTGAGGTTGGTGGGATTTGGCAATCAGAGAAAATAATTTATTGTCTCTTGTTGGGGCTATTCAGTAAAATTTAGAAGAGATGTATGAACTGACAAATAAGATCAAGCAACTAAATTAGGACACTCAGTTCCATATTTTGTCTCTTAGCTAGGCAATTGCAGTCTGTACTTTCAAACAAACCAGTAAATTCCAAAGTGCCTGTCTGAGAACCTGCATAACCTGTTGAAGTTTGAGACTTTAATTTAGAGGGTTGGTTGTGGAAATGATGGTTTTCTGGTATTTGTTTTTAATATCCAAAAATCCCTGTTACCCTGTAATCAGACACAGTTGTTAATTGGTGCAATGACAGATCTGTTAGCCACTTAAAAGAAGCTCTTCAATTTTCTAATTATTACTACAGCTAACTTTTGGGTCTATACTGAAAATCATGCTGTTAAACTAACAGTTTTGAAGTTTGCACTAAATCAAATTGGCAGTAAATGGAAATGATAATGCATTCAACTTTTTAATGTACTTCCTGGCACTGGTTAATTTCTTGACTACTGTCAGATCTGTTTTCTTGAGTTGCAGCAATTTCTTTTTCTAAAAATTTAACACCACTACCTATTTAAACTGTGGTTCTGCTAATTATTTCAGCAAGATGAAGCAAAATGACTGAGAACGGCTTTATAGTATTACATTTTCTTTTCTACATGTTAACGTTAAGAAGATAAATGCACTAATAAACTGTCAGCTTCAATTAAGCTTATAACGTAGGGTTTGGGTCTGAGGAGGAAAGTACTGCCAACATTCTGATGATGAGGTCCTTTGTGGATAATGCATATGACATTCATAGTCATTTCTCACTCTTTTTCTCAACTCTGAAAATATATTCCAGTTTTTCATATTGTCTTGTCTCTCTCAGATAGTGCCCCTAAATAACTAAAGGGGAACCCGTTTTGTTCCCCTTTCTCCTTTGATTTACCAGGCTTCTGGTGTTCTAGCAGCCTATGTGTTACATCAACAGATGGTCAGATGGTATTATCGCCTCAAATCATTCCAGTCATATGTCAGACTGATTATTGATATATGATATATTGCCTGATGATATTAAAACAGACTCATAAACATGCTTTATATACAGTGCGTAATGAACAGCTTTTCTTTCACAAATTCCCTTGGGATTCTTCTGTTTGAGGAAAGCAGGATCACAACAACTTGCAAGATGAACCTTAAGTCTTCAGTTCTCAACTTGCTTTTGCTCATCTGATCCTGTTCCTGCATTTTTTTTCCACATTAATTTCCAACAGACTAAATGTCTTTGACATTGACAAATCCAGGTAAAGCTAGTTTCTGTTTATTGCTTACCTACTTTTCCAGGAAATTCAAGAGCCACTCCTTGTCTCTTGTTTATTACAGCATTATTCATGTAATTTTTTTCACATCATCTTGTATCTATTTTTTTATATTATGTATTTTTTATATCCATATCCTAGCCATAGAACAGATGGATATAGGAGGGTTAAGAAAGGATAATAGTACAGGGTATGACTGTTTACTTATGAAAAAAGGAGATTGAATACTCAAAAACGGTCATCTTCCAACCATGGGCCCCCTAAAACCACTATACACTGTATGTGTATACAGTTACAGTTACCACTTCCCATCATAGAACTAAAGATGACAAGACCTGTATATCTCTTTGCTGCAGTAGCATAAGCAATGCTAACTATATTATCTCAATGCATATAGCTGCATACTGCTTAATGAAATGAGCAGAGATTTCTGTCCAGGAGTTACCTATGAGACCAGCTGAGGTCTCCTTCAATATCAAATCGGAGATGGTCTTTTTTTCCCTTGGAAACAATTTGGGAATGGTTTAAGTCCAAGAGTAATCTTCTATGAAATGGTAGTAGACTGAGCATTCGTAGCTCTAGTAAAGCTACAAATGTAACATTTCCCTGTCAGTTCTCAATTTTCCATCACTCTGTTGATGATGGATGGGAGTGCTGGCAGGAAAAAACTGCAGACTGTAGGTGGGGAGCCTCTCCTTACCTCTTAAGCAGCCTTTTTTATTGGCCTGAACTCTTCAGAAGTGTGTGAGGAGAACAGTGTTACATTATTTGATCCTTATTCAGGTGATGGAGGTAAGAATTAGAGTTTGTCTGCTGCTGCAACAGTATGAATAAATTGAAAGCAGTGTGTAGCTTCTCTGTGTGTCTTGTGAACTTATTTCTCATTACTCTTAAAAGTTCAGACATGGGAAGTTCCTAGGAAAATCTCCCATAGAATGGGGAAGTGATAGTTATTTCAGTCTTAACAAACAACGAGGTTTAGCAGTGCAGAGGTCTCAGTGTCCATGCAGTCTTAGCTGTTTGTTCCCTTTTTTTTTTTTTTGCTTTTTTTTCTTTATTAAATGGGTTTGGCTGTGTTTGAAGGGTACAGTTTCAAAGCACTGTGGAGGAGGAACAGTTGGGATGCAGATTAATTAGTATCTTATTATGAGGTCAGATAAGGTAAGGCATTTTCTAAACACAGGTTGCTATGGCTGCATATTGTTGAGTAGAAATGAGAGGATTGAGTCTTTACCCAGTTATATCAAAGCAAATCAGGGCTAAATACACAGAAATCAATGAGGAGTACCAGGTCAACAACAGTCTTAATAGTTTTTAAAATAAATGATTCTAACAGCCCTGAAGAAAACTGCAATTTACCTCTTTAAAACAGTCCTTTCAAGAAACATATTTGTTAGGTAAATTCAAGACATGAAACAATCTGAAAGGTCAGTGAGAATGACCAAAGCAGGATTCTAATGTTATAAGTGATACTTGGACATTCTTAAGGTTGGGATTGTGCTCATGAAGGTATATGCTACATAATAAAAGACTTAATGTGATGAATTGTCCGCAGGATACATGTAAGCAACACTTGCTCATAAATCCTCCTAGGCCATGTATAAAAACATGTAAATAAAGACCCAGCAGACTCCGACATGGTCTATATACAGCCCTCCTACATTAAGGGAAGAATTCCCAGATCAGGAATTACTGTTGACAAAAGTCAATGTACATTCATATGCAATCAGAATTAATGCACTTTCTTACATGATTCATGTTTTACTATTTCATATTCATTTAATAGAAAGCTGATGGGCAAGCCAGCATCTCTGATCACAATACCAAGATATAGATAAATTATAAATCCCAAGCTTGTTTTGATTTATGAAATAAGCATAAGGTATTTTTGACATGAAGGGTAGTTTGTCATAATGTTCATGTATTGGTGTATTGTTGATAAGGGTTTCAGGTGTCATACCTCTTGTTCTTCTGAGTTTTCCATAGCCTTCTTCACAGGTTTAGCACTAATATGAGGGCAGTAATAAAAGACACAAATATACCCTCTTGTATGGTGGTAAAACCAACTGGTTTTTTGAATATTTCTGGAAAAATAAGGAAAGACTTATAATGGATGACAGACCTGCATGTGATTTTAGTTTATACACTAGAAAAGAGGAATTACAAAACAGCGTGACTCTGAAATAATTATTGCAGAGTGCATTTTCTGAAGTACATTGGTTTTGCAGAGTCGTTTTAGGATACAACGTTTAAGTTGTTAATGATTTATTTCAATGTTTTTTAAAATGTAATAAACCCTGTGATGTTGTTAAAAAAAGTTATAAATTAACAAGTACTGCTTACACAAATGTACCGTACATAGAATAAATTAAATGTAATCGGTCATTTTGCTTTTAATTATTCATAGGGAATTGCGTAGCTTGGTCATTGAGATGGTCTTGTCTACAGATATGTCAGGTCATTTTCAACAAATTAAGACGATGCGACATACTCTCCAGCAGACAGAGGGGTAGGTTATTTTCCATTCTGTTCCTTATCTATAGTTTTTCAATGAGCTCATGTACAAGAAAAGAATTTAAATAGTTGCTTTTGTTTTGAGATAATTGGAGCATGTCCTTGAATTGACAGGGTAGACAAAGCCAAAGCCATGTCTTTGATTCTACATGCAGCAGACATAAGCCATCCAGCAAAATCCTGGGAACTGCACTACCGGTGGACCATGGCCCTGATGGAAGAATTTTTTCGACAGGTGCCATTTTTAAAATCCTTTAATAAGTCTAGTTCAAGAAGCAATGGTTACACAAGTAAATCTTTTTGTAAGTCTACCAGCAAGAATGCTGTTGGTTGTGATTGACAAGCATAGTCGGTAGTATATATTCTATACTCTTCACACATGCCACTGACATTAATTCAATTGATATGTGCATGAATAAGATTAAATTGTTACGGTTCTGTATCTATTTCAGCTGATACCAGGATTCTGAGTTGTAGCAGGGTTTTTTTCTTTCAGTTATAATATAACTTGTCAAGCTGTTTTCATTCTGTAGAGAGAGATTTATATATGCTTTGAGTTAAAAGAGAAGCACTAGCAGGGTATGATGAGGGGCTTGAAAATAGGAAGAATTCATTTTCAGCAAAGAAGGAAAAAAGTTGTCTCCATTTCATATTTCAGAAAGCCCTCCTATTTCTTTTCCTTGACAGTACTTGCCCATGCATATGCCACATAGATCTGAAGATTTTGCTTTCATAACAGCCTAATCGAAAGCCAGAGCGTAGACAGCATCATCCTGTTAATATTGTGTCCATACATCCTAAAACAAAAAAGAAGACACACCTTTGTGAAAGTCTCAATTTCTGTGAGATACTGAATTCAAAGAGAAAGCCCAGTAGGTGTTGGTGTCACTGTTGCCATTTTTTTACTCACCTCAGCAGGTGAAAGAACCCACATCTCTCCAAAGCAATACTCTCCCAGTAATGAATATTTGTGCCCATGCACATTTTGAACATAACACTTACTGAATATAATTAATAATCCAAATCCAGTTTAAGTGTTACCCAGTTTCTACAGTTAAAAATGGTTTAAAAAATGGTCAATACAGATAACGGAACAGTGTATGTCTTGCTCAGGTTCATTGTATTTTGCTTTATGCTGCCATTTTCAAATCAGATGGGAAAAAGGTGTCAGAAAATAAAAAAGTCAGTATGTCAGTATAAGGTTTTTAGGCCCATCTGCCTGAGAAGGCTCTTGCTTGGTTCTTAGAGGTCCTTTATAAGAATTCTCAGCAGGGAGCATCAGGACAGCCTTGACTCCGGGCTTTGCACAGTGCCTTAGTGTAAATAATGAATGGACTGAGTTTTGTGGAAACACTGAGTAGAGTCATGAGTTTGTGTTTGCTTCTGTAGATGGAAATTCTGAGGATTTTGTACTTGAGAAGAAAAAGGAGGAGCAGATTACCACAGATATATATTACTTGAAAAGGTCAGGAATGACCAACTGTAAAAACATTTTAGACACAGAGAGACAGACTAGACAGAGCCCATGGGACAGTGAGGCAATGCGTCCAGTCTAGTGGATATAGCACTAGCAGTAAACAGTATCACACTGGTCACTGAGTGCATAGGATCAGCTAATGTTTTAGTTATTTCTTTATCCTTTCATTAGAAGTAACTGGATCCCAAATAAGCTGTGCAAACACTTGAGAAGGCATTTAACAATAGAATCAAATCACCATGTATGTATGTCTGCAGCTTAGCAATATGAAAGTCTTTCAGGCTGTAGAGGAGTGTGCAAGGAACTGAATCCCTCTTTATACATACTAATAAGAACAGTGTGTGTGGAGTAGTTCCAACAAATGTAAAGTGCGATCAAGTAACAGTACATATATGAATGCACTGAGCAGTGCAGACACAGTAGGTCTCCTGCTTCCTGTATGTACTGGCTTGATTGTGCATCCTCTGGTCTGCTGATATAAGTGCATGGTGAAAAATCTCTGGGATTTCCAAATCTGTTTCAACCAAGATGAAGTACTCCAAATATATACAAAATCATAGAATCATAGAATAATTAGGGTTGGAAAGGACCTTAAGATCATCTAGTTCCAACCCCTCTGCCATGGGCAGGGACACCTCACATTAATTCTTCTTCTTTTCTTAAAAGATAGTAATAATTCAACTACTTCTACTGCTTTACAGGGAAAAGCATCAGAGTCTGAAACTGATGGTGCAAAACCACTGCTTTAACAGGCAGCTTTCAAAGTAGTGTGCACCAACAAAAATGAGCATTCACCTAGACAAAAAAACTTCAGTTAACTGAAGCTAACAGTTAAAATGTGACAGTTGAAAAAAGCCAAACAATGCATTACGCTTAAAAGACACAACTACAGAAAGTGTGTTATAATGCCAAAAAAAAAAAAAAAAGAGCTACTTGTTAAAATAAAAATACACCCACCCATCTCGAAACCTTAAAATAAAGAAATACATAGTTCAGGACACTCAAAGAAGTATCTCAGCTCCTTTAACATTCTGCTGTCAGTGTGAATAGCTCCAAAAGCACAAAAAGAGAATTTGTCAAGATTGTTCAGCACCTGGGAAAGTGTTTTTTTTTTTACTTACTGATCTTTATCTTTATTTTAAACTCATGAAATTCTCAGGATCAATTTAAATATCCGTGCTCTGTCCATTATTACAATTACTATAGACTTAGACTTATATGACAGTTAAGTATTAATCATGTATTATATTAATTGCAAAGTAATTAATGATTGGGATAAAGAGTTGCTTGAAAACAGAAAAAAAAATCAAACTGATTCTTATGTTAAATTTTCTCTTTTTAAATACCTAGTTAAGGGAAGATCAGACAATTAATATTGCTTTAGAAATCCTGTATGTAACAATGGCTGAAATCATTAGAACTACCCCAGTTTATATTATATCACAGTCTGGCTCCTACATTTACATGGAGATGCCACTAGCACTGCTCCTAGTAGTAAGTATTCATGTGTTCATCTACACTCTGAAATCAAATTATCAACACTTATGTGTAAAATTTAAAGGCCATAATGATAAAACTCTCCATTTCCACATGAAACACAATCTGTGAGCTACATCTGTGCTTGTGGCTGAAGTGCATTTATTGGTATTACAGTTTTAAACTTTCCCCAAGTCTAGTTCAATGACACATGACAAAAAGGCTAAGGAATGTTGATACTGCCCCCTTCATGAATCAGCTTCTCATGAGATCTTTGGGAAAATGGTATATTCATGTACTGCTCCCCACTGAACAGTCATGTCTCCTTGTCTGATGTAATATGTTGATTCATTTTACTTGAAAGACTAAGTTTTCCTATATCTGTAATGTCAGTGCTTCTGGGGACTAGGCTTCTCCAGCAACATAAATTATAGCTTCCTTTGAATGATGCCTCTTCAGGTTTTTTATAGAATCATAGAATAGTTTGGGTTGGAAGGAACTTCAAAGGTCAACTAGTCCAGCCCACCTGCAATCAGCAGCATTTGAGCCACTAGACTTTCTTTTTGAACTTTAGCAAGTCAGTTGCTGACTTGCATGTCTAACATACTGAAAATGGAGATAACACCCCCTGGTCTGTTATGACAAAACCTTCTTTTAATGTGTTAGGTGTGAAATATTCTCAGAAGTAGGTTGTACAAATCATCGTTGTAATGAAATTGAGCTTGTTCTTTTCTATGGCTTCAGCAGAAGCCATATGCCCATATGCCTGCTAGTGAGAATGAGTTCTAGTCAGGTTCATGCCCTTGTCCCATGTAAATCCATTGAAGTATGTGGTAAACCAACGTGACAGAAGGAAACATTTAGCATTTGGCCTACAGTTGCAAACATGTCTAAATCTCTCCAATCCCATCACATCTGGGGTCAGCAGCACTAACCTGTGAATACTGAAGGACTTCATATATGTTAAATCTCATCAGTAGGTGCCTTGTTCTGGAGGAGAACTTGCTTGCAATAAGTTCCTTTAGATAAAAGTTGCTGAATATAAGTTAGAGTTTGACTTTAACTTTTCCTGAAAATTTAAAGATAAAACATGAGGTTTGTGGCTTGCTTTTATTTAGGAATATAAGTGAACAAAGTAATCTGTTGAATAAATACTGGAATGTTCAGATTCCTTTGTCTCTCTGTCCCTCTGTCAAGTATGTGGTTGTAATATTAAATATTGTTGTTTGCAGGGAGACAAGGAGGCTGCTTTAGGTCTTCAATTTTCCCCACTCTGTGACCGCAAGTCTACTTTGGTTGCTCAGTCCCAAATAGGTAATAACATGTCGTGTTTTTCTTTTTCTTGTTTGTGTAGGAGCATATAAAATCCTGTGGGCATTTCCTATACATCTGTGAATTGCAGATGTTCCAAATACCGTTACATAGAGGTATATCTTTGAAACTGTTTACCAAACTCATATGCTTTTACAGCAGAAATGTGCTGGTTTCAAAAGAACATGAAGTAATTTCAGCATGTGTCATGCCAAAGAAGGGTAAGAGAGGGATTAACCAAAGTACCGGATGTGAACCCAACATTTACTGTACACAATTTAGGGTTTGGTAGATCATGTCCTCAGAGAGTTTGACTCTTGCTCAAGAACTCACAGGTCTTTCTCTTCTATAGTCTGAAAGCTGGGTACTATTTTGTAGATGAATCTCAACTTAAAGCTAATTAATACATTACATATCTGGACTGCAGTTAAGATTGTGTGGCAGGGTCAAGCCTTCTTGGACTGACAAGAACCACTGCATTCTGTTACTGTCAGTCCTAATTGCACTTTGGTCAAGAGTGGCCAAACTTCAGGTTCCCGTTTTCAGAAATGTGGTTCTTGGTTCTATCTCCTTTTCCATCAGCAATAATAAGAAAATAAAACTGGTAAAGATGACAAGGGCTCGTTACAAGGGCATACCCTAGAAGCATACTGGGTAAGGCAGTAGGTCCTACCAACAGCTGTACTTTTTACATGAGTGAACAGAGTATTTAGGAAGGTATTCTATAGGTGACAGTCTTACCCTTGAATTGAAGCATGTCATCGTGTCTGATCTTGTCACTCAAAATATCCTTTATTCCATTTCACTGGGACTTGAAAGGCAATGTGCTTGAGCCTCATATCATACCTATAGCCGGAGGGAAGCTGGATCCGAGGCTGACGCACTGTTGCTCACCTTTGTGCTATGTTGTATGGTTAGAGTATGAAGACATCTGGAAATCCATCGCTAGCTCGTGTTTTAGCTTTGCTTTTTTTTTTTTTTCTGTTAAGTGCTCAGCAGAGAATAATGCTTCATTCTCTCACTGTGTCATTCCATACCTTGATGAGCACTTTAAAATGTAAAAGACATTGTTCGGAGCTGACATCTCAGAACTGTGGGATGAACGCTGTCTTCTAAGGATATTACTTGTTCTCTTCACTGATTTGACAGAACACTCCTACACACTGTGAAATAACACTTTACCTCCACAGAATAACAAACAGCAATTTGAAATATTAACTCCTTGGCAAGAAGCTCCGAATAGCAAAAGAGACAGTATGAGTTCTAGCCCCCTGACTCAATGGTAGATTCCCTTCTATTCATTCCAAATGGTAGGTGTGTTCTGCAGTGCATAAAATTTACAAGAAAAAGGAATCAAAAGCTGTAATTATTAATATCTAGTTACATTTATACAGCTTCAAGTGCTTTGTTTTTACTTCTGCTTTTTTTCTTCAAGATTATACTGCTGGTATCTAGTATATTGAATCAGGACTACAGTCAGAAAATCAGCTTGATATCAAGGTTTTTTTTTAGAATTGAGAGCTGTGGAAATGTAAAATCTGTTTTTCTCTCTTCTTTAGGTTTCATTGATTTCATAGTAGAACCAACATTTTCTCTTCTTACGGACTCAATGGAGAAAATTGTTATGCCTCTTATAGAGGAAGCATCAAAATCTGAAAGTCCTGCACTTGGGGCACCCAGGTATGACTGCTCTGCTTAATTACTGAATTAGCATAAATTAACATAATAATGTCATTCTCAGAATTATTGCAATTATTTTAGCCGTTGGAAAAGTAACTTAAATAGCTGTACGGTATTGCCACCATGTGGTTTCATGTTGTATTTGCAGTATGCTATTACTCCATTGACTGTGGACAGTTGTGCATATATAAAAGCAAAAGCACAATAATGAGCAGAATACACGTGTAAAATATAAAGTTGATTTTCTACAGCATATCTAATAACAATTTTTTTCCTTTCACTATAAGCTTTGCAGTAAATTATTGGAGTTCCTGGTTCTCTTATCTTGATCCATTTTCAGTATCATTTTAATTGACAGTATCAAAAGTCACTCTTTCTCAGGGACATTTGGAAGTGGAGGTGGTGAAGGTGGTTTCAGGGTATTTTTTTCCTGTTTCTTACGATGCTGTAGGTCACTTTTCTTCTTCACCTTTCCATACTAGTATTATTTGATATATACCCTTGAGACAAAATGGATTCCACTTATAGTCCACTTGAGAGATCTAAATACGGTATAAGTGAGATGTTGCAGGGGGTGGGGTTGCCCATCAAGCTGTTAATTTTTGCATCATTATAGAAGTTACCTGTAAAACAAACTTGCTGTGACAGACACTGTTATCTGAGTGACTCCATGTTGAAAGCATTGTTCAGTAATCAGATGCTGCTCTTACAAATAGTGCCTTTTACCACATTTTTTTCATTTTAAAACTGTAATTCGAGCTTTCAGAGACTACTAATATGACAACTGCTCAGGGCAGTTTTGCACTTGCTGTGCATTAGTTAGAATTTAACTGTAAAATGATGAACCTAACTTTTCTGATCATGAGTTTACATGCATTTTGGTTACTAGAAGTAAGTAGAAGTTACTAGAAATAGGTATTTATGACAGGGTTCTTAGTGGTTTGGAGGACAGTGCTAAGCTAAGGCTTTGCTAACAAATTTGTTTACCTACTCTCTTCTTCACAAATTAGTTATTAGCAGCTGCAAATGATTAATAGCTCCAGGCTTCATTTTCAGTTGATCTTCCTGACTCAGAGGTAGATGAACAAAGTCTTATGATCCAGCAAAGCCTCCTCAAGTGAGGTTCAGGATAAAGCAATTACTTTCAGATGTCTTTAATGTGAGCTCCAAATATGCCATTCACTGTTCAGAAACACAGCTAAGAAGCTAAATAGCTATATAAACATTCTTTCAAGAAACAACTTACAAGTAATGTATTTTCAGCTATTGCATTTGTTTCAAGAATTCCCTGGAAAAAAGTTGGTAAGAATCGGTACTGGGTTACAGCTTCATGAGTTGAAGAAATACCTTGTATCTCAGCCACTCTTTGGTGAAAACTATTATTTCAAATTACTGATTGCATGTAGGTCCTAGGGAATTTTTTTCAAATTAGCTGTTTGTATACTATTAAAGTTACCTGACAGTGTTAATAATTTAGGGGTTTTTCCCTTCTGCAGCCATAATATTTTGGGAGCAGTAAGCAATGCTGAAGCACAAAGACGACCCGGTTTTAAAAGTACAAGTGATGGAGGGACTCACACAGAAAATTCTCTAGCAACTGTAGATCTAACAAGCTTTAAGGCCAACTTGATGAAGATCATACAAGCAAACAAAGAAAGATGGAAAGAATTAGCAGTAGAAGGTATGATATACTAAGGTGGAAAGTTTTCATAGGTTACTCCCTAACCTTCCATTAATTTCATTTTTTAATTTCCTTCAATCTATAAAAATACATAGTTGTCTTGTATTCATATCTTTTATGTCTTTATTGTTTAGATGGTCCTGTTTTATTCTCCCAGGGGTATAAAGAGATGTAGGTGGTCAGGTGATGAGAGGAAATCTTATGCCCTGTACAATAAGCCTCTCTGTTGCTCAGCTTATCTTTAGTGGTCTGATTTAGAAATGTGCATTCTTGCACATGTAATCATAACTGATACTGACATCTGCTTTAAATGCCAAAATCAACAATTCAAAATATTATGTTCTGCCACATTTCTTAAGAAATGTGAAAGTTGTACTTTGCTTTTAGAAATGCTATCTGTTCCCCACTGTATGGAACAAAATCCAGTATTGCATGCTTCTTGAGACTATGCTGCAGGCAGTTATTTAAATGACCCAGTGGATCTAAAAATTTGGGTATTCACAGCATGTATTAGACCCAAACAAGGCAAAAAGTGCTTCTTCATTTGCTGGTTGATAGTTAATGCAAACTTGCATCAAGCATCTTACTTCATAAGCCATACCTGAAAATTTTCTGGAGTTAGTTTTCTGATAATTTCATGATAATTGTTGAAAGCAGTTTATAGCCTTGATCCATGTTAAGTGAATGCCATTTGAGAATATTTCGTCCACAGTCTGCGCTGCTTCCAGGTAAGCACCTAGGATATTTCAGTAGTGTTTCACTGTTGTGGCTGGTCTTGCTGTACATGATCTGATAATGACTGCAGGAAATGGTATCCTGAAACCCAGGGCCAGCCCTGTCATCCAAAGCAGCATTGTTTTCCTCAAAGAGGTGTCAGACAAGACAGAAAAACACTGCTGAGCTGTGCTAAATTCTAATTTAGTGCTAAATTGCAAATGCATATCCTTGTTAGGAGAACAGTAAGTAAAAACAAGCTTCAATACATCTATTGTGAGAATGATTTGACTGTTGGGTAGAAGGGAAAGCTGAGGAGATTTAACTAATATTGTCTCTTCATGAGCAACTTTACATGATTGTTTGCCTCTTTTGGTATCGTTCAACTAATACTGACTGGTCAAAAAGACAAAGCTGCTAACTGGAGATTACTGGTATTAATAGCAGACATTGGGTGCCAAAGACCACTTAGCTACAGTCTGCAGAAATCAAGCATCCCTAGGCTATCTACATATAAGGTAATTCAATATGGAAAAATTGAGAACTTGTTATCTGGAAGTCTGCCATTTCCAGTTACATATAACTAACTTGTTTGATTTTGGTACATCAACTTTTTGGTACATTGTTTTGGAGTACAGTGCTATCAAAGAGATAATTTCTCAGTTGCAGTGCTCTGTAAATTACTGATACATATAGACCAGTTTTACTGGGCTGTTGACAGCCTTTGAAAACACAAAGCTTCACACATCAAGAGATACAAGAATTCTTCTGGGTAAATGATTGTTTCTCTATACAGTCAATATTAATGTGAGGACCAGAAAGATCCAGGAAACTCCGGGCAAGCTTTCTGCTTTGAAAAACAGAGCTGATAATGTTCAAGACTCTATGAACTTTGTTGAGATTGTTGTTGTCCATAATCTAGGATGCCCTTCTTTTCTTCCATCAACTTGGCTAATAAAATGTGTCTAAGTATTTCCTGAACAGAGTTATGGAATTATTGTAGAATGTACATTAGGAAAATAGCTGGGTAAGTGAAAATAGCTGTTTGAGGCCAAAGCTTGATGAACAGTATCAGCTTTGTGTCATTATGTTTAAATCTGTTTTGCAAAACCTCTGCGAGAGCACAGAAGAGATTTATAGAAAGTTGTGCCCATAAAAAGACTACTTGCAGCAACATCTGCAGTTGACAAGCATGACATGGAGACATTCAAGGTGCCTGATCAGAGGAACCCTGTGAATATTGAACATTCTTTTGAGTACAGATTTCTGTTTTGGTAGTACAGAGATAGTAAGTTGCTGGGTTTTGGTTTGGGTTTTTTTGGGGGGGTGTGGGGGAGGCAGATATTACATAGGTTTTGTGAAAGTTAAGATATTTCCCATGGAATATGTGGGTACTTAGTCCATATGTGGGCACTAAGGGCTGCTGGAAAAGAGGTTTTCACTAAGTGAACATAGTCCTAGATAGAGCACTGGGGTAGCAGAAGTTGCTTTTCACATAATGGAAGAAGGAGTCTTCCCCAAGTGGTCCAAATCAACAGTGTATCTGCTCTCAAGCTGCACCCTGCAAATGTTGAAAATCCTTAATCAGACTGTGCAAAATTAACATCTAGTAAGTAATGAAAAATATTGAAATATATTCCCTTTCCACTTGGAATTTGCTTCAGTTTGCCCTTAAGTTTTACTAAGCTTGCAAGTGAATAACCTGAGACCTTGAACTTCAGATTATTTTTTCCATCCTATCTGCATCTCATGTTACCTTGTCTAACTCTATTGCTTGATGAAAAGTCTTTAGGTCGCTCTAGGTATATGCATGTAGTTTTGTTTTATTTATATGTTAGTAGGAGCACATCATCATCATCATCATGGCTTGACTTCAGAACGAAGATTTGGGAAGGGCTTTACCCACGCTTACTACAAGCATGCTGATGACTAAAAAGGCCAATGTGAGATAGGCAAATCCGTCTGCAAAAGGCACAGCGAAAGGTCTCCTCGGGTGGTATAGGCAGGGCACGATTGTTTCTATGTTGTCTTTTCTCCCCGAGACTAGTACTGGGTGAGTTCTCAAAGGAGTCAACGGCATTATGTATGGTGTGTCTCCAAGTCTCCCGATTCGAGGCCAAGGTGGACCACTGATGGTAGTCAATATGGCCAAGGCTAAGGTATTGTTCAGGGAGTCCTTATATCTCTTCTTTGGGGCACTTCTCTTATGGCTACCGGTGGCAAGTTCACTGTAAAACACGATCTTAGGGAGGCGGTGATCCTTCATCCTAGAGACGCGCCCTGCCCGCAGCTGCAATTCCAGCAATATGGCCTCAATACTGGTGACCCCTGCCTGTTCGAGGACAGTAACATTTGACACATAGTCCAGTGGATGTTTAGAATGGTACGAAGACAGCACTGATGAAAGCGTTCGAGGAGTCACAGGTGATGATGGTAGATGACCCATGATTCAGACCCATATAAACGAGTAGACAGAACAATGGCTCTATAGACACTGATCTTTGTATCTTTCTTCAGGTGTTTATTGCACCAGACTCCTTTATGGAGTTTTCTGAAGGCTCTATATGCCTTTGCTATTCTGTTGTCTATCTCTTTGTCGATTGTAGCATCTGAGGAAATGCTTCCCTGATAGCTGAACTGCTGAACTGACTTAAGCTCTGACTCAACAGTGGTAATGTGGGGATGATGGTGATCTTCTTGTGGCGCAGGTTGGTAGAGAACGACTGTCTTCTTCAAGCTGACTTCCAGCCCCAAAAACTCAGCCACCTCCGCAAAGCAAGATACTAAATGCTGCAGAGCTGCTTCTGTGTGGGCAACAAGGGCGGCATCATCAGCAAAAAGCAGTTCACGGACAAGATGATTCAACTGAAGGGTCAGGAGCACATAGTGGGGCAAGAAATATCAGGGGTAAATCACTGCCAGGTGAAAGGACTGTTGTTATTGCTGTCATTGTTCCTAGCTAGATAATTTGCAACAGGGATAACTTGCAACAAGCTGCAAAGAGCTGAGCACACTGACAAAGTTATGTGTGTGAGGACAGCGTGCCATGGTAGTAAGTAAACTGACTGTTAGTGTAGACCTCCAAACATATTTCCTGATCTAACTATGATAAACAGTACTTGTGCTGTTAACAATCTGCATTCTTGGCAGTGGGCTCTGCAAACATTGTTCCCAGATTAGTTAACAGGCTCAGGAACAGTTGTCTCTATAAAATATATATACATAAATAATATAAAAAAGAAACTAGCAACGATCCATTTAATTTGCTAGTCACGATTCAAACTCATTCCAGCTTCTCACCTCTTCAGGATAAGGCTACTCATGTAGCACTGGTTGGCAGGCAGGGCTGGAGAAGATGATCTGATTCCTATGCCCAGAGAGTCCAGAGCAAGAAAACCAAGACACACTGACAGTGTTGTTGACAGGGCGGCTTTCTTGGAAATGCTGGTGGTACCCCTCCCTGGAAAGACTGTTGTTGTTGAGATTTGGTTCAGAGCAAGCAGCTTGTGCAAGGAACATTGTGCTTTGTTTGAGAAAGGCCTGTGTTAGTAAGGAAAGCATTTATCTACCTAGGCAGCTTCCTTAACAGAAGGCTCACTAAATAAAATGGCTTCATTTTGCTAAAAAGGCCATGTCTTGTGTAATTGATGCAGAGGAGCTCAGTGCTCTATAGCCTAAGGGTTCTCAACCTTTCACCACTGGAGAATTAGAGGAATGTTTCTCAGGCCTTTCAGGGAATGCTGTTAACAGGGAATTACCATAATGATCAAACATCTGGGATTCTGATTTGAAAGCCTTGATGTTTAATTAATATTCCAAACCCCTAATCACCAGATAATCTGTCTTTGTTCAACTCAACACAGTGATAAAGACACACTTCCATCCTGTGCTGCTGGTATTTGCAATTGTGCTAGTTGTAGCAAATAGACAGTAAAGATACTCAGATAAGTCTGAGAGGTTCTTCCACTAGAGAAAACGTTTGCTAAATGGATTTTAAGGTCTGGAAATTATTGACCTACGGAGAAAGCTGTAAGAAACACACAGTTTGTTGGGAAAGATTTAAATATCAAATGAGATCCTTCATGGTGCAATTCTTAGAGCACAGAGACATTGAAACACAGTGATTAATATTTTAAAAGCACAATGTTTATTTCTTATGCCTACCATGTGTATTCCATCATGCTTATTTTGTTGTATAAAAATGTTCTGAAGTTTTACTAATCAAGTTGCTAGTGGTTGGCAAGCTCAGAGCAAAAGGGTATGGACTAGTAATCATGCTTACCCTC